GAGATCCCACACGCTCTTAAACTCTCGTTTCAAGATTCCTTGCACATCCATTCCTTCAGCTCTTTCAACTGCATCGTCACTTCCGCTAGCGATAGTCATCGGCATGGCCTTTAAATCCTTCGACACTTTGAGTATGGCATTTACGGCAGCTACTGCGTCAGAAATTTCTTGTACTGTCTTTTTTCCCTCTGTGTAAATGGCCAAAGCTCCCTCTTTTACCTTGACTGCAATTCCGTCTGACTTGAGCTGCGTCTTCAGGGCGTGCACGTAGTCACTGAACTGCGCATGCGGACTGATTTGTTCCAGCGTCATAACAGCTTTCTTAAAGGACTCCTCCGCTGTGGCCATTTCCTCGCGATTTTGGACGAATGGGTCCAACGTTGTTTTAAAATCAGTGAAGATGCAATCCAACTCAGAGATGTCGAACTTTTTGAAGTCGAGAAGTTTGCTTAGCTGTCCTTAACCTTCTCCTTTTTCTTCTCAGGCTTGGTTCCTTTTTCGCCCTTCTGGCCCGACTCAACTTTTGGGTGTTTCTTCCGACGATCTGGCTTGGTTTTAACATCAGGTACGGCATTCTCATCTTCTGCACGACTACCATTCGTTTCTTCGACGCTTTGGCTATCGGAGTCGGAGTATTCAACAGGGAGCGCTACGGGGGTTGTGCTTCTCACTGGACTATGAATTTTGGGTAACATGACTCTGGTTCGGGGTGACATGTCTTTGGGTGAGATGACTTTCGAGCGACTTGACCGGTTACTGCCAGACGAACTATGACGCCCGTTTCTTGAAACTTTGACTCCCAAATTCACAGAAGAGATAATTAATTCTCTAATTAATCGAAAACAAGCGGAACAAAATTGCAAAATAGGATTTGGATACGAGCGTATACGCTTTAATATATTCAGTCACGTGACAGTTTTTGGTCTAATCGCGTGCCAAAAGTGTAACAGGTTGTTGACAAGCAAAAACAAAACACGCTCATTTTATATTTTATTGCTGAAATGTCATCGGGATATAGGATAATGCCCAAAGTAGAAAATCATAGTACACACATTTTAACGCTCAAGTCAACTAAAAATTTCTGGTAATGAATCTAGCTTTGAACCACGAAAAGTAAATGAAGAAAGAAACTTAATAAAAACGGGGTGGAGAGAGTGGGGGAAATTACAATTTCAGGATACATCGAAGAAACAAAAATGAGCAATCCAAATCAAAATCGACTAATGTTATGTTTCCAACATGAAACGATAAACAATCAATTCAAATTTTTTTTTGGAATAGAACACCTTATTTTCTCTTGATAACAACCTATTTCAGCCACATTCTCTCCACGATACTAAGTAGTCGTTACCTTCATGATAACATTTGATTCTCTGTTCATCTGTCTCATATTTTTTTAGCTTATTTCTGTCTTATTTGCGCTAAATCATTGTCTAACTGATTGCGTCTTTCACCTCGTTTCGTATTTCGTTTGCTTTCTTTGCTGGGTTATTCTTGCCTTCACTACTGTTCATTTTCTTTTGCGGATCCACCTTTGCCTGGTTGCTTTTCATCTACCTCTTCACCACTGCCCTCTCCTTTCTTTGCCGCTGAGTCCTCTTCACCAGTCAAAGCTTCTAGGATGTCGCTTAGAAGGCGCTCCACATACAGGCAGAACTCTTTCACAATACCCGGAACTTCTTGTGCCTTTTTACGATTCTCGTTAAATTTTTTTATCTTCCCTGGAAGAGCGAATAGATCAGACTTCTTCTTGAGCAGGCCGTGGAAGTCACGCTGTGGATTGATTTGAGTGACTCTGTCCAGGAACTCTCCTATCCCATTCTGCACTTCCGGCTCAAGTTCCACTGCTTCACTCCCGGCTTCTCTGATGTTCTTCAAGGCTTGAACTGCGTCACGGTAAGGCTTGGGCGGTTTTACACCTTCAATTGATTTTACTTTAATCTCGCCATCGCTTTCATCAATATAGATTGTTATGTTTCCTTCCTTGGCGTCTTTTTTTAACTCTTTGATGTACTCTTTAAGTTCCTTTTTGGCGTTAAAGTTAAGGATTGTCTTAACAATGTTCTCGAAGGATTCTTTGGCGGCTTGTAAGCGTTCACGGGTTTCCACGAACGGATTGATGGCAGTTGCGAGGGAAGTGAAGACAGCATCAATGTCATCAAGACCCACTGAATCAAACTTCAACTTCTTGTGAAATTCCTCTTTTTCCTTTTCCTTGTTGGACTTGTTTTTCTCAGCTTTTCCACCATCTTTCTTATCATTCTTCTTTTTTGATCTGCTTCCTCCATTTGCTCCTTCCGCCTCTTTGCCTCTGCTTTCACCTTTTTCTTTTGAAGTGTCGTCGCTCTCATTCAGCTCCTCTTCAATTTTCTTCTGTTCTTCCTCATCGGCAAAAGCATGATAAATTTCAAGAACGATCCCCTTGGTTTGGCTGTAAAAATCCCGCACCATGTCAGGAGCTCTCTTCACTTGCTGCACGTTGTTACTGAAGGCTTTTTTTAGCTTCGGGATCTTTCCGAGATCCCACACGCTCTTAAACTCTCGCTTCAAGATTCCTTGCACATCCATTCCTTCAGCTCTTTCAACTGCATCTTCACTTCCGCTAGCGATAGTCATCGGCATGGCCTTTAAATCCTTCGATACTTTGAGTATGGCATTTACAGCAGCTACTGCGTCAGAAATTCCTTGTACTGTCTTTTTTCCCTCTGTGTAAATGGCCAAAGCTCCCTCTTTTACCTTGACTGCAATTCCGTCTGATCTGAGTCGCGTCTTCAGGGCGTGCACGTAGTCGCTGAACTGCGCATGCGGACTGATTTGTCCCAGCGTCATAACAGCTTTCTTAAAGGACTCCTCCGCTGTGGCCATTTCCTCGCGATTTTGGACGAATGGGTCCAACGTTGTTTTAAAATCAGTGAAGATGCAATCCAACTCAGAGATGTCGAACTTTTTGAAGTCGAGAAGTTTGCTTAGCTCGTCATTAACCTTCTCCTTTTTCTTCTCAGGCTTGGTTTCTTTTTCGCCCTTCTGGCCTGACTCAGCTTTTGGGTGTTTCTTCCGACGGTCTGGCTTGGTTTCAACATCAGGTATGGCATTCTCATCTCCTGCACGAGTACCATTCCTTTCTTCGCTTTGGCTATCGGAGTCGGAGTATTCATCAGGGAGCGCTACGGGGGTTGTGCTTCTCACTGGACTTTCTAATGGCTTCCGATGTGACTCGTCTTTCTGAGTAAGACAAACGCAAAAAATAACAACAAAAGAAAATATTAACAACAACAAGAAGAAATATTAACAGAAAATTAAAAAAGAGAGGATGCATCTAAAATGGTGGAGAAAAGTTTGCCCAAATGGTGAGAGTCAAGCTTATAAAAACCTCTTGTGGCCAAGCTATGAAGGGGATAGTCGCATGAAGAGTCTGATTACAATATTAATTGCCTCACTGCCTTCGTTGCCTTAACGACACCAACATTGGTGTCGTTTCTAAACTGCTAACTGGGTTGATTAAAGAATCTTGCTCTTTGGATCCTTTGCCTGATTATGTCTTGAAGGAATGCTGCGACACTCTACTGCCCATCTTTACTAGGATGATTAATTGTTCGCTTTTACATGGAGTTATGCCGGAGTCCCTAAAGAGTGCTAGGTTGTTACCTTTACTAAACTGTCGCCTCACAGTTAATTGATTATCTTTCCTTCAACAACCTACATGAGTCTTTCCAGTCCGCTTATAAAAGGTACCATAGTTCTGAGACTGCTCTACTTCGATTGCATAATGACATTCTTCGATCTATCGACAATGGGGAAGGTGTTATAATAGTTTTGCTTGATCTGTCCGCAGCTTTTGACACTGTGAATCATGAATTGCTTTTATCTCGTTTCGTTTGTCTACATGCTATGGACTTTGTGGGTCGGTCCTTAATTGGTTTACCTCTTATTTGAGCAATCGCACTCAGTTCGTTGATATTAATGGGACTTTCTCAACGATACGTCATCTCGGAGTTGGGGTGCCTAAAGGCTCGGTCTTAGGCCCGTTACTTTATCTTTTATATACTTCTCCTGTTGTTAACTTTCTCCTAATCTTAACTTTTACTTTTACAACGATGATTCACAACTATTTTTATCTTTTAAGGGTGCTGATCGATTGTATGATTCTAAGTTGCAGCTTGAGGCTTGTATTAATGACATTTGCCGGTGGATGGTTTTCAATGAATTGGAACTTAATCAAGACAAGACTGAATTATTGGTTATTCATTTCAGTTACCGTTCCTGTACGTCTTTGTCCTGTCTCCGTGTTGGGGATGTTGATGTTGCTCCAGTGAAAGCCGCTTCCAATCTTAGCGTTGTCTTCGATGATACTATGTCTTGATT